CCAGGATGCTCTGCTCCTCATCTCCCACTGACTCTCTCCCCACCCCCCCCAAAATCTCCTTTTATACAATCCATCACCATCTTCCTCAGAACTAATAAACAAGTTTCTGTGTTGATGCAGCTATATGGAAGTAAACACAATTAGGCCTCTTTTATGCTAAAATGAACAGCATACTAATGAGACGTACTGAATCAATTATTCCCCAGGGTTTCAGGGCCATCAACAGTCTTGGATTAGAAAAGCTAGTTTATTTAGCCGTCACACATTTCTGATAAGAAATTCTACTCTAAGCAGAAGACCGCAACTCTACATTGCAGGGGGAGGAGGGACCTAACGTTACTTTACCTCCTCCTTTCCTCTAAATTAATTTGATTCATCTGGTTGGGCTTCACGTAAGTTGAAAAAAACTGTTTTCATTCTAGCTTTCCCTCTTCCTCCACTCCAGTCCCCCCATCCCCAACTGTCTCCAGTATACATGCAATTTATACAAGGATACTAAACAAGAAAACAGCCCCCACAGGTTAGAGCTGGTATCAAGCCTTGTTGATGAAACCATATGTGCAAGAACATGTCAGTTCTTAAGTGTAGGTAGAATGTGGGACTGACATTTATGAAGTGCTTTTCAGATACCCATCTCGGTGCACACTGCAGAACAATTAATCACACCCCTAGGGCAAAGGGACAGTATACAGACCATTCCTGCAACCACTGCATGCATGAGAACACCATGCAAGTTTTCTTTACTGCCTGTAGGTCTCTCTGGTGTTAATTGAGGGAGGCACTGGAAGATAAAGGTCATCTCATAGCTTGATTCCATAAATTATACAGTAGCAAACAGGAAATTGATTGATGGGCTCCACATCACATTTCAGAGATGTCAAACCAAAGATCTTACCGGCTGTGGCATTCAAGATCCCAGTTCACTTCGTTTTTATTTATTTTTCCGAGAATAGAACATGAACTCTGGAACTCAAGGAGGGGGAAAAAAAAATAATGTCATTTTAATTTTTTCCTGAGGTTCAAATGGATTAGGCATTTTTTCCTTGACTTCCTTGTCCTAAGCCCTCCATGTAGGATTGCTTCTTCCATATAACCCCAGTTATGGATCTGAAACTACAACCTGGGAGGAACACTTTCATAGTTGGATGTGGGGAGGAATGCAAGTTTTGTATTCTATGTCAAAACTAGAGGATCAGACAATGCAACCTGCGTAGATGGTGCTGGTAAAACAGAACCCCCCCCCCCCCACCATCTACCAGCAGAAACACTGAAGCTATTGAACTAATTTCATATCAACCAACAGTTTTCCAACAGTGGACATAACATGTATTTAGCACCAAGATATTGAAAGTGCTTTACAAGACCTAGTCAAGAAAGATTCTGCTCCAGAATAGTGTGGACAGGAACAATAAAAATAAAATAAAGAGGAATGAGAGTCAATAAAAAGGTCAATCTGTAGACTCTGAGGAGAGAGGAGCTTCCAGCCCAGAAACAGTTTGTTCCAGGCAAAGAGGAAAAAAATGGGAGTGCAAAAGAAGAGAAGGTGACAAGGAAGATGCCTCCAAGCCTAACAGCACATTGCTCCCAAATGTGATCAGCATCATATCTAGCCACCTTTGACTCCCTGGCCCAAATGAGTAAGTACCCAGTTACTTGAAGCAAACTCCGACCTGAACTCAGACCTCCAGAACCAGAGCAAGACACGGTATCTGCTCTGCCACCACACTCCATGACAAGAAGAGATCAGGCATATGGCCAGCGGTGATAATGAAAGTTGAATATTAAGCAAGCACAGAGCTACAGGAGGCCCAAAGGAGCTTTGAGTTGATGCACACAAGTGAAGGTAGCTAGCAGAGGTATTAAAACAAAGCTTCTGAACAATCATTTTAGCAGAGATTACACTGCAGATGAAAGAGACGGGAAGGCTATAAAAAGGTTACTAAACAGAGACCTGAATGGATTTGAAGCTGCTCAAATATTTTTATTTCCTCATAGATCAGAAGACCTAAAGAGGCTAAGCTATCCAAATAGCTACCCATTATTGTGCTTTTAGAGCCAGATATTCCATGCTCCAATCTTAATCTCAAAAGCATGAAAGTAGGGAGGTGACCACAATAGTCTGCAGACCGAATTTTGAAAAAAAAAAAAAATTCAAGTGTATTACCATAATTTTTCATTTTCAGTTAAGGAAAGGGATATGGCATGGCACTTAAGTGTTGGATTAGTTGTCTTTTAACAACAATTCGGTGTTGCAGCATATATAAATTGCTTCATTTGTGTAACTGTGGGTACAAACGATATGCACAAATCTGAGAGCTATGAATCATGGCTTCTTTGTGAGAAAGGCACTGCACTGTGAGACTGGAGCAGAGGAGACTGGAAGAAAGGTTGAGGTTTTCACTCCCCACCCCCCCAATGACATGGGAAGATTAGTAGTTCATTCATTTTTTAAGTCAGAACCCATGCTTGGTTTAGAGTTGGGGGATGTATCTTTGCAACCATGACTGAGGGTTGCACATTAGAATACACATTTCCCCAAACGGATTAGCACCTGGAGTGACTTGTAGTGGTCAGATCTTACTGAAGAGCATGGCTGTTCCTCTTCCACCACCCCATTCTTTGTCCCATTTTCCAGCCATGTGCACTTATCCTTCCTGATTGCAGCTGATACAGGCATAAGGTTTACTATCTATCTTCAACTCCTATCTTCTACACCCAGTTTTCTTTTAATCAGCCCTAATCAAGTCCAGCCAGCAATACTCAATTCATTTTATATTCTCCAGTAATTTGCTCTTCTAGATTCCATGGTCAGTCCTTTACACCTTGGAACAAGGAAACATTATTTGTAAATTCCTAAGTATTTAAATAGGAAGATTTGAGATTTCCTATCTGTAAGTGTTTCTAAATATGCTTACCTTAGTTACAGGCCTGAAGCAAATTCCCAGATCCAAAAACATGTATTGTATGCTAGAAGGTTAAGGTTTAGATGCAATTATCATGTTGCCTATCATACACCACACACCCAGCCTAGTACATTCCATTTTAATTTAAACAGATGTCTATTTTCCTTTTGTAACACTGAGCTGAATTGCTAATTTTTTTACTCATACTAAGAATGAACCACCACCACTTATAGTCCTAGGTCTTCACTGGGAATACAAGGGGAATAATGAATGACAACAATGAAAAGGAATTAGAGTGTACTGTAGCCTGCAGGAAATCAACTTTCTTCTTCTTGACGTTACTTGAAAGGTCTTGGGTACTTTGCGGGGAGGGCAAAATGCAGCATTTATTAGGTATAGTAGTGGAGTGAACACTACTACTCCCTCTGGGCTGATCCCTAGCGAATACAAGTGTTATCACCTCCTAGTGATAGACTTGGCTCTTCCGCATCTGGTTTTACCATCAGACAAAAAGCAGCCGTCATAGGATCAAAACTGCATTTTTAATCCTCACCTCCAAAAGACATGAAGGCTCTGTGCCAACAGTTAAACTACAATCATCATATAAATTCAAATTAAAAAGTAACCATTGCAACAGGCAAACCAAGACTTAAGCTACACAAAATGCCACGTTATAAACAGAACTACTTCTTGTCTCCTACCATCTGAAAGCTACAATAAGCATTCCTTCAGCAATCCCCAAAACTGTAAGTATTCAAACCCATTTTGCATTGACTTACCACTCATCACTGTGCCTTCTTAGCATTCAAATGATCCAGGTTGCACTCTTGGGCCAATTTTTCAACTTATTGGCTAGATCTTTAGAAATACTGAGCAGCCCTTAAATTCCAGCAGGCAGGTGCTGGGTCAGAATCTGCCACCAGGACCAACCAGAGCAGGCTGGACCTCTTTATAAGTTATACACAAACACACAAGGCAAACCTATGGCTATTTGAACTCATATTCCCTAGAAGTCAGGTCTCACTCAAGAGAATGAGACCCCCCAATTCTCCAGCCTGCTTTACATGAGACAGTCCAAGTGTCTCATTTCTTGCTGTCACTGCCACATTGACTGTGTCCAGGTGCAGGTGATGCTGTCTTGGGGCAGGCATCTACAAACATCCTGCTTTACGCACACCACCTTCCATGGAGCTCTGCACCCTAAGAGCCCTGCATCCACACAGCACCCTGTTATCGTGGCAGGCTTGGGGGCTTCATGCAGAAGTGGAGAGCTCCCCGCAGGGCAGCCAGGCAGTGGAAGAGGCCCCACATCCCAAGTCTACTGCCTGGCAGGGCTTTGATCCACTACAAGAGACTATGGGAGCTGGAAGACGGCAAAGGATCTCTCGTCCCCTCTCGCAAGCATCTGTAACTGGGCAAGATGAAACCAAAGAAACACAGGAGGCAATTGGAAGAATAATTAAAACAATTTAAAGCAATGAAAAATAATGAATAAGTAAAATCATTAACAGCAATCAACAATGAGAAATGATCAAAAAGAACCAATGCAATTAAATGATGAGAATCTGTGAATGACTCAAACTGGTTAAAATAATCAAGAATTATGAATAAGTAAAATGAGTCTCAATTCGACACAGAACGATCAACATCATCAATCGTTCACATCATTAAAATAATTCGCAATTAGAAATCATGCGAATAATTCACTCTTAGAAACAATTCAAAGCGAGCAAAGTACAAGAAAATTAACTCATTCCTAGTTGCCAGCTATTTTAAAGGTTAAAGCAATAAATATAATAAACAATTAAATTATTTAAATGAATTCAGCGTCTAAAATAAATAATGATTAAATAATCTAGAGATAATGAAGCAATCCCAAGGGAAAGCACCGCAGAACTTGAAGCAGAGGACCCCCCTCCTACCCTCCCCTCGCGCTGACCTCACCAACATGGCACAAAGCGAGGTCCGCCCTTACCCTCTCCCCGCTCTGACCTCACCAACATGGCGCAGGGCGAGCCTCGTCTCGCTTTACGGCGTCACAAAAGGACCCCTCCCAGGCGGCGGCGGTCTCCGCCGCTTGCAAAGTGCCGTGCTTTACGGCAACGCCGCAAAATGCCAGCAAGATGGCGATGGGTGGCGCTTCCCGGTGACGGTTGAGGAGCCAGTTCCCGCGCCATGGACCGCAGGAAGAAGCCGCTGGATGTGACGGCTGCCTCGGTGAGCCACGGGGCCGGCGGGTCACGTCCCTCCCCCACCCCCTTAGTCCTGTAAAAGCAGGACAAAGATGTCCCCCTGGTGCAGGCCCAAGGGGTGTTTCAAGACCACGCAGCTCTTGAATGACGTGTTTTGGTCACCCGTGGGATGGGAAAGACCGCGTTTACTCAAATACAAGACTAGGTTTCCTTCTCCAGTCAGCAGCACCTTCTCTTACATCGGCAGATGAGGAAACCTCATTGTCTGTCATTAAACTGCTGCCAAAAGTCAGTCGTGCCCCATCACAGAGGCCAGCTGTGAAGTGGATGCTGTGCAGCTAACGCTGAGCATGACCATAAGACACAGCCCACATCAGGCAGACGTGCTGCTGAGACGTGTGTGCGCGCGCCAAAAAAGACTTAGATACTAATGGGAACCTGTCAAAAAGATTTTTTTCTAAAAAAAATTTTAAGGAAAACTTTTCATGTGCCAAACCAAATCAAATTGTCCATGCGTTTTAACACGGACAAGTGCAGGGTGCTGCATTTGGGCAGTAGGAACCAGCAGCACACTTACACAATGGGGAACTCCTTACTCGAGAGCACGGAGGCAGAAAGGGATCTTGGAGTCATTATTGACTCCAAGATGAACATGGGCCGACAATGCGAGGTCATGGTTGGCAGGGCTAACCGGACCTTGTCGTGCATCCACAGGTGCATCTCGAGTAGAGCCAAGGAGGTGATCCTCCCCCTCTACGCGACGCTGGTCAGGCCACAGCTGGAGTATTGTGTCCAGTTCTGTGCGCCCCATTTCAAGAGGGATGTGGACAACATGGAGAGGGTCCAGAGGAGGGCCACCCGCATGATCCGGGGACAACAGGGCAGACCCTACAGTGAGAGACTGCGGGACCTGAACCTATTCAGCCTCCACAAGAGAAGGCTGAGGGGGGACCTGGTGACTGTCTATAGACTCACTAGGGGGGACCAGAAGGGTTTGGGGGAGACGCTGTTTCCCCTAGCGCCCGCTGGCATAACAAGGAGTAATGGGCACAAGCTGATGGAGAGGAGGTATAGATTGGACATCTGCAAGAACTACTTCACAGTTAGGGCGGCTAGGAGCTGGAACCAACTTCCAAGGGAAGTGGTGCTGGCCCCTACCCTGGGGGTCTTTAAGAAGAGGCTGGATGCCTACCTGGCTGGACTCGTTTGAGTCCCGTTTCTCTTTCTGGGGTTTTTTGTTGTTCTCCCGCCCTGGTGGGGGGTCGGGCTAGAAGATCTACTAGGTCCCTTCCGACCCTTAATCTATGAATCTATGAATCTATGAATCAAATCCAAATTTGGGAATCATTTAAGAACTATGTGTGGTCCTGTTAGTGGCAAACATCCTGCACCCCTGCCTGGAGCTTCAGATGTTTCCAAATCATTTGGGGGGCATCCTACATGTAGGTCCAAGCCCAGAGGCATGAGGTTCGGATGCCCCTACAGCCGCAGGGGCAAGTCAGGGATCAGTCTCCCAGCTCCATGAAGTTGGCGTAAAGCCAAGATCTTCCCACTGGAAATGACAGTGGGAGGGTAACTATACATTACTGCTGCCTGGGTACTAACCTATGCCAAAAAGTTCGGGGGTTTTTTAAATTAAAATGTAGTTCTATATATAGAGAGAGAGTTTTTATATATATATATACACGTTCTCTATCATAAGCTTTCTATCACACATCCTAAAACTGCATTAAGAAACCCACGCTTCTGGTTATAATAAACATGCCTGCGCCTCTGCGCACCCACCCTCACCTACCCACATTGCAGTCCCTTAGTCCAAACCCCAATTTAGGGTTTATGATTTTCAGTTCATTCACTGTCACTTCTGCTGCTGCTCTGTCGTAGTCCTCCTTGCTGTCTCCAGGTCCAGTTGCATCTCTGTTCTCTTTGTTATCTCTGTCCACTTACCCATCTAACCCATGCCAGAACAGTGGATAGGTTAGTATAGCCCATCTGAGTAAAGTATGTGGTAGTGCCTTTTAAGTGAAGTCCCCTGCAGTGCCAGCTCTTTTTCAAGTTACGCTGAGCCACTACACTGTAGACATTTTGACTTCCTCTTCACTCCCACAGCTGAGCTGCACCTTTCTGTCCCATTTCCAGTGAGTCTTGTTTCTTCACCAGCCTCCAATGCCTGGCCAACATCGCCAAACAGGGCCCCAAACAGTTCACCCAGAATCCCTCTGTCACTCCCTCTCTCAGCCAGTTGCATATGATTAGAGTTGCCCTGCTCCCCATGACGTTGCTCAGCATCTCAGTACCCATGACATAACCATCCAGTTCCAGTCATGAGTGGGGAACTAAATAGCACATGGAGTCTTTGTGATGGGTTTCTGAAGTACGTATATACATACTGAGGAGTGCTGAGTTATGGGGTCACCATGGCATGAAATCCTGTTGAGTTTGCTGGGGCCCACCCCAAAGAACTCTATGGTAAATCATGAGCCTTTTGGCATTGGATTAATATCATGCATAATTATAACAAATTTATAAAATTTTCTCTATATAAAATCTGATTGTTGGGGGGTCGTCTTATATTCAAGTAAATATGGTAATATCAACAGGACTTTTATAATCAGGGTCATCTTATATTCAAGGAAATATGGTAATACCTATGGGAGTTTTGTGTTCATGTTTGCAAGAAAAGCACTCTATAAAAAACGAAAAAGGAGTTAATGTTTTTTATAAAGACTAACTTCAGTTAGGACTATTTCTTGAAAGGAGTTATCATCCAGTTAAGAATTTGTAGGGTTAAAAACATGATTTGCTGTGGTCTTTCTGAGTTCTTTGCAGCAGAAGAATTACTCTAGTATTTTTCCATAGTCAAAAATGACTGAAAATTAAGAGCAGGCGCTGTCTGCAGGGTGCCTCAAATCTGATAAGGGGTGATTTGAATCTAAACAAGTTGAGAGCCTCTGCTCTAGGAGCAACAAGTTGCCCTTTCCTCCCTATCAAATGCTCACAAAATTACACAGTGCTTTCACTAGTTTAAAAATAGAGAGTGCATCTTGGTGCTTTTTCTCCAAAGATTTCAGCGTATTGCCTGTAAGGTGAAATGCTGCTGTGCTGTGACACAGTATATACCTTACCCCACAAAAACCATGCACTGACCACTTCCCCTGTGCATGCATGTCAGTGCTGAATTGGCTCGTGTTTCTGAACTGTAATTAAGGTTTTGTGTTAGACTGTGAGAGGGAGACCTGAAGAGATTTCTTGACCTGAAGGAGGCAGCAGGAAATTCTTTGTGAAGAAGCAGTTTCTTATTGAAAATATTCTCTGTGGATGTAAGGGCATGGCTGCATGATGACCTGTAACTTGACATTCCCTTGCTTTTAATCAGTTGAAGTGAGACAATGCTATCAAAAACTGTTTTTAGTTATGAAATATCCCTACAGGGCAGTGGGTGTACTTGGTAGCCATGTTGGTCTGAGACGAAAAGACATACAAGAAACTAGAACTCTTGGTTCCAAAATGATACCTTTTATCAGACCAACTGGAAAATGGCAAGAAAATTGTCCTTTTGGAACCAAGAGTTCTAGTTTTTTGTATGTCTGCAGGGCAGTGGCATTTTTAAAAATCCCAAATATGGAAGTAGTAAATAACTGAGAGGCCACCCAGATTGCACAAAATAGATAAACAGCAAAAATGTCACCTTACTTCAGGTAAAGTAATGTACTTCTAGCTTATGTATCTTGTATTGCTCTCACTAACGGCTTGATTAATAAAAATCAACAGAGCATTGTTTTTCCATCTTCACTCCCCCTCTCAGCATAGTGTAACAATTGCATTGTAACAATGAGCAATAGGAATAAATAAAATTGTATACAAAGCCTTTGATGGTGAATTTATGGGACAGCACTTTAAACAGTTCAGGAAAACCTAGGTTGGTTAATGTTGTTTTGTATCTTGATAAGGATTATGCTTTGAACAGTGGGTCAGGGAATCAACTAAATGACCTCCTGAACTCCCTTCCAGCCCCCTCTTTTTTCCTCTGTGACATTATGTGAGGTAGCTAAATGCTAAAATTTGTGACACATTTTAATATCTAACGTTTTCTACTTACGTGGTTAAGGTACATGTTATCAGTGTGTCTTCTGCAGGACTGGCAGGAAAAAAACATGATCAAGAACACTCCTAAAGGGTACTTAAAGATCATGCACCCTTTTAATGAAGTTTCTGAATAGCACATGGGATGGCGAATAATGCCAGTGGGAGTTTTACGTTAACATTTACAAGAAAAGCAATCTAAAAATAGTGTGCAAAGAGTTAGATTTTTAATAAAGACTAACCTCAATCAATTAAGACTCTTCTTTGAAAAGGAATTGTCATCACATTTTCATACAGGTTGGTCTTTAAATTTAACCAAGCAGGTATTTTATTACTATATATTCTCTGTTTTTGTTGGTCTTTGGAGGTTGCTAATAGCTTTGTATGAAATGATGCCTATTCTGTCCGTGCACATTTCCCATCATGGAGTGACGGATCAGTAATATAACAAATGTCTATAAATAACTTTTTAAACTACCTATCATGCATTGTGTTTTATGTCATTATTTTGATTTACTGAGCACTAGATATTGCTGTAAATTTTTAAATGTTAAATTCCTGCTCCACATTTCCATGGCTGAAATGCAGTTGATTTTGTTATAGCTCCACAGTCTTGCTTTTTCACTAGGAATTTCCTTTTATTTTCCTTTGGTAACTCTTGTTGTTTTTATTTCTACCGGGGTAGTTGGTAGACTTGAAGGCTGAACTCTTCCGAAAGCAAGAAGAATTCAGGAAAGAAAAACTATTGAAAGATGCTGGAGTTCCTGTAAAACCCAAAACAACAAATAAGGTAGGAAAAAGTCATGATGAATGTCTTATCTTTATTGTTATTCTTTTTACTTAACAAAATGGAAAAAACAAGGCATTAGTTAATCAAAAGAACATGTCAATGTATTTCAGTATTTCAGTTCAATTGTAAACTCTTGATGGTGGCCTTCATTGAATTTCTATCATGCTCTTTCTGTCTGAGGTTCTCGCACAAAGTCTAAAACTGTCCTCTCATTCCTTGTGCATCATATTTTAATACACATTCTTCAGAAGGTCAAGTGATACAACCCTGAAAAAATAGTCCCATAAAAATGGTGTGCTGTGTTACTTATTGATGCCATTATTAATTGTATCTGGAAAGATCAATGAAATATTTTTGTTGACCATATTTGCTTGGAAACATTTTTTTTTTTATATTCACTAATACCTTTATATCAGTACTTATCTTATTTTTCACAAAGCCATGTTTAGTCTTTGGAAGTTTCCTGAACATTTTCACAACTAAAAGCCATAAAAACAGTTTTTGGATTGGATGAAATTTATTTTAAAGCAGTTATAAATAAATACCATAGGATCTCTATGGACATTACTATTCAGTCTCTAAATGTTTAAATAAAATAAAAACAATGTGATTCTCTTTACTGGGTTTCCTCTCCTGAGTTGTTCAGACATACCTGCTGCATTCAGCAGCACAGGAGATGGATCATTAAATTTAAAATGGTTAGACTAATAGTTATCTGCAGCTTTTTTTCTCTTTCCATATTGATTTTTCTTCAATAACCGCACACAGTTGAAAGCTAATTTTAAAAACTCGTGTCCCACAGAAACCAAGCATCTGGAACAAGCCGAACACAGGGGTTTCAGGACGAGCTGAGAAAGATGTTGAGCAGAAGATTGAGGAGCAGCAAACATTAGATAAAGCGAGGTGACCTTTAGGCATTATAAGAGATGCAGTAGATGCAAAACATATAAAATGTTTAACAGTTGCAGGAAGAGGATATTGTAAATAGTAGTGTGCAGATAAAAGGAGAAGCAAGTAATTTGTTTTTATAGGGATGCAATTAGTTCATTGCTCATTAATGTCTTACTTCAGGCTACTTTAGAAAATATCTATATTTAAATATTTATATCAAAATGCGATGAGGTCTTGATTTTTTTCTTCTGTGTCAGGAGAGGCATAGGCACAAAACAACATCAGAATTCTATACATCAAAGACCAATCATCAGCCTATCTTAGCTCTACAGTATACCACAGAGTGAAAATATAATTGATAATCTCTCATTTTTTTGGCAATGATTCTTATATATTAGAAGTTCTGTCTCTTAGAAGCATTCAGAGAAAGGCTTCTAGTACCCTAATCAGAACCTGCTTAGGTTTCTGAGGGTAGTCATATCCAGTGTCCATTCCAAATCGTGTTTTCTGGAAAGCATCTCTTTTTGTGGTGGGTATTCAATATGTCATTGCTAGAAAAGAATTGTTTTGTTCAAGATGTTCCTGTCTCTGATAACTGCATCAATGTTGCTACTAACGTTTCATGATACTGACTCTATAATCAGATATCTATACATGCTAAGAAATTGCAGTTAAGTTTAAAGGAAAATTTGTCTTTTGTTTACCTGCCAAGAATAGATTTCAGGGTTCTGCATTTTTTTCCAGCTATAGTTAGTAGTCTCTCTGGCACTTAATGCAGCACAAGGGTGGTAGGGGCACAGCAGGAAAAACTCGGAGCCTTTGGTTAAAAGGGCTTCAAAGACAAGCATCAAATGTATTTCAGCATTTGCTTATTCCATTGCAGTCTAAGTGATGATAAGCTATTCTTTTTGGGGTGTATTTGAAATCTGTCATACTGAAATGTTAACAACATTTTCTTTTCAGGCAGAAACTGGAAGAGAAAGCAAAACTATATGAGAAGATGACTAAAGGAGACTTTCCAGGTGAACAAAACAAGTGTGAAACCAGCGTTTGGGGTTTGGAGTTTTTTTAGGTTTTGTTGTTTTTTGTTTGTTTTTTTAAATCTTGCTTTTTATTTTGTTAGGCTACAAAATTAGCCTTAACCACCTGGTAGTTGACAACTGTTCAGCTATGAAATACATTACTTCTGTTAATCAATAAACATTTGCTTTTGAGCTAAACGAGCCTTTTTAGAGGTACAGTATAAACTGATTAACACAGGTTATATTGCAAAGAAAGAAAAATAGATTATTACATTTTGAAGAGTATTCTACTCTAATGGAGAACTGTGGGTTCATGCTTTGTCATTGGGAGAGAGGTGTATTCTGGATTTGTAATAGAAAACCCAAGAACAGTAAACTATGTGGAAAGTTTCTAATTGTGGAGGAAGAGACTTATATGAATGCTTTTCATGTAGCCAATTCTATAGGACAGTTTTTTAATACCCACTTTGGAAACTACACAAATGACTAAATGAGCCTGCTGCAGATTTATTTAGCTGTTTCATATAGACCATGTGTTTGTTAAAGAATTTTTTCTCCCTTGAAATTAATTATCTTAATATCATTTTTTCTAAACTGAACTTTTTCTTTCATTCTGATGGTTTTATTTCATATGTTGTAAATGAACATTGAAACTATTGATTAGTACAATAGTTTCTCATAGCGAAACAGTTTTTGTGAAGAGGGTGTGTGGGTATTTCATAGTTTCATAGTAAGCAGGGTCGGAAGGGACCTGAGCAGATCATCAAGTCCAACCCCCTGCCATGGCAGGAAAGAGTATTGGGGTCAAACAACCCCAGCAAGGTGTTCATCTAGCCTCCTCTTAAAGACCCCCAGGGTAGGAGCCAGCACCACTTCTCTTGGAAGTTGGTTCCAGATCCTAGCCACCCTGACAGTGAAGTAG